TTTAGGTGTCACGCTTGATTCAACACTTTGTTGAAGACCCCATATCGATAACATTGTTAAAAAAATCAGAAAAACAATTGGGATAATCTCATACTTGAGGCATTATTTACCAAAATCCATTATGATATTACTTTACAACTCGTTGATTCTCCCACACATTGCTTATTGTATAGAAATATGGGGACACACTTTTAGCACATATATCCAATTTTTAAATTACAAAAAAAGTTTGTCAGATTAATTTCTTTCTCTCATTTTCGAGCAAGTACCACACCACTTTTCCTGCAACTTGGCATTCTTGATGTGTATAAATTATGTAAGTACAATACATGTTTATTTGCATACGATTTGAAAAATGGCCGCCATGCACACTCTCTGGATCATTACGCCTTATCAATATCAGATCCATATCATACACGATCAGTAACCTCTGAGAAACTTGCCACACCACAAATTAATTTAAGTTCAACTAAGAAAAGTCTGACATTTTCTCTTGTAAAACATTGGAATGAGCTTCCAACTTCGTTAAAAACATCAACTTTACGAAACTCGTTCAAAACGGCATTAAAAAAATATATTTTAACTAATGTATAAATACATGTACTTGCATTATTGCAGTATATGTATTAGTATTGTCTATTTTTGTTTTCTTCATTATTATTATTTATGAGAGTTTGTAGTCTCTTTACTTACTTAATTATTTATTTATTTATTTTTAACTTAACAATATAATTTTTTTTGTGTATCACTATTCACAACAACGTATATTTTAACAGTTGAGTATGGTTTTGGGGCCAGGGACTAGATTAGTTCTGCTAGAACTACCTCTCTGGTCCCCACCAGGAATAATATATATATTTAATATTCATTCAGATAAAGTTCCCTGTACAACTATTCTAATAAAAGTCGTAAACAATCCTGACCAATAGCTTTACCTATATGCAATTTCAGACTGCGGGCCCGTTTTACCACATGACTGAAGACAATTTTGCTAACATACTTAGACGAGGGGGGGGGGGGCAAGGGTTATTTTCGTTCAACGTAATTGCAATATTTTTTTGTTCGTACAACGTAAATAGAAAAAAATACATTCCGTAATTCTGTAATCACAGGCTAGACGTACAACGTAATCAATCACATATTTTTTTCGTACACTGTAAAAATGTGTCATTTTTCTCGGTACGTACAAGAATTTACATCCAAATAAAGAAATCGTAAAAAAATAATCCAGGGAAATAACATTTCAGAAACTGTAAAACGACGAGATGACACGATTCACTACAAAATTGAATGTCAAGACGTAAAAGGCCTTCTAACCGAATGAAGAGCATTACGAGGGTAATATGAGCAGTAATGTCGGAGAATTTGAGTCGGAGAGCTGTTCGGACCATTCAATGTTCCATTTTTTAACACTGTAAACTGTAAAAACGTTTTTTTCCTTGTAAATTGTAAAAAAAAAACTTTTTATTTCCCGTAAAACCGTACCAGCTACCCCCTTGCCTCCCCTCTTAGACAATTTTAGTTTGTTGTCAATAGTAAAACCCAAGTCCTCACTAGACATTGCTTTCAGCACGTGAGTATGACAATCAGATAATATTATTATTATAGATGATTCTAGCGACAGTTATACACCTCGGTTCTCAGAACATCTGAAAATTCGCTATACAGAACGCTTTTGCTATCGTATGTGGAAAATTTATCCTGCTCAAGCGTGACAGCGCCCTCGCATGATCTTCATTGACCCACGTATGTCAACACAGGCGGCGCTATCCTCAATGAGGTTCATCATCTGCTTCCAAATCAGCTGTTTGTGCATGTGAATCGGGTATGTATATTACAAATCGTAATTAGCATGTACATTTCTTTGATGCTAAGTCTTTGTATTTATCAGAATTTTCCGTATGATTTAGATTATGTGGCACAGGCAGCTGCAGCCTTAATTGCCTCGGAGTTTTGTTATGAGGGTTATTTCTTTCGTCCGCGAAACTGGCTTCGCAATCGCCTCACAATTATATGGAAACGAACTATAGCGAAACCAAGAGCTACAGAATTGAAGCTAAAGATATCACACAATGATTAACCAGGCCTCATTTGGAGATCTGGTTAATACTTAATGAGTTGAAATACTGAGCTGAGGATTGGAAACTGTACGTCGATTCAATCTAACTCTGAGATCATATTATTTAACCTTACAGAGCAACTTAAAATACAGTGACATCATCTAAAACGAGTCACTATAATCCTGATAACTGGATGCTTCTGACATATGAACTGCCATTTGCATTATGAACTTTATAAATATTATGAGAAGAGCGCCAGCTAGTGGCAGGAGTTTACTTTCCCAGTACCCATTCACACCCGTGCAGAACGTCACAAGATATGCAAGTACGGAAGATACGCAGGAAACACGTGACATGATTGATCGCATTATACGTGTTGATCACGCCGGTGAACTTGGAGCTGACAGAATATATGCTGGTCAAATGGCTGTTCTGGGAAACACCTCTGTTGGACCAGTTATAAAGGTACAGTCACTGTATTAGAGTCAGAATGATCAATATGACTACCCGGTACATTTGACAAAAAAAAAAACAGTGTTTCCATTTGGGTTTTAAGTTCATAAATTTGCCAGTGATACAAGCGAAGGTAGCAAAAATAATACCCAGGGACTAATTAATGCATTTACTGTATTTGAAATTCTGGAGTCAAATGTGACACATATTATATCTACCGGTAATAAAAACGCTTATTTAGTACCGGGGTATTTAAGCAGTGTCAAATTTTAGAAGTAGCATTTAGATAGAGAGGAGGTCAGTAAAAAAAACACATACTGCTTACAGCGGAGAACTATATACTGTAAAAGGATTAATTATTCACTGGGTTTTAATTTTGCTTACTTCGCTGATTGGAAAATGCGCTAAATTAAAACACAGTGAATATGTAAAATTTAGCATAGAACACATTATCTAAATGATAAAACTGTGAATTTAAAACCAACTGAATATACCTGAAATGGTAAATCAGTGAAATTTAAACTCTGTGAAAATTAGTCATTTTACAGTATTCAGGTTTTTTTCTAGAAAAAAAAAATGCAAGAGGGAGCACTGCAATTCAAAGGAGCCACCAAGTGGAGGAGATAGGGTTCTCCCTACCAGGGTCATAGATGTGGATTTTTTGATAATTCTAAGTTAAAATGGAGCATTCTATGGCTTTCTTGGGGCCAAAATTACTATCAGACAGGTCACAGTTGAAAACTGTGGCCACATGTGATCCCTGGTCAATCAGAATTTTATGGTTGCCAGAGGATCTGCTCCCCAGGGTAAGGGGGCGCATGGCCATGGCACGAGGGCACTGCGCCCCTGTTCCCTTGTTTAAAAAAAATCCCTGGTATTGATGAACAACTTCTTCAAGTGAAGCTAGAGAAAATCTTACATTGCACTGTGAATATTGGATATATATATGTACATGTATGTTATATGTGTATTCAATTGAAATGTGTCGTTTACATAACATTCATATTTGAGTATTTACTTTTTTGTTCCATTTACAGGAAATGTGGGAGCAGGAGAAAAAACATTTGAAAACATTTGAAGAGTTGATTCCACAGCATAGAGTCAGACCAACATTTCTTTATCCCCTGTGGAGTATGGCAGGCTTTGCACTCGGTAAGTATAATATGCTGTAGGAAGTATCTGAAAGTGGTTCCCGGTATACATGTGTTAGCTGAATTTGTGTGTATATATTGTACAGGAGAGTTTTGTAGCAAATGTA